GTTCGCAGTTGAAGTAAGGCTGTTATTTAAGTATCTTAGGGTAACATTTTAAGGCATTTACATTTGCGAAAGGAAAATGTTGTCTTTTTCGAACCAGTTGCAGTTAAAATCCTCCGTCCCTGTTGCCTGCCCGTAGTGGCTGGGCATATCTAAAATCATCTGGACCAAGTAAAGCGATTACTTCAGCAGCGACTTTTTGAAAATGTGCAAACTTATTAATTTCGGCATTTAGGCGGCAAATTGCGTTCGCAACAAATTACTTTAGAATTAAATAACATCAAACAATTTAAAATAACGTCCTCTGGTTTACGGCGCTGTGTATTTACGAAGCGAATGAAGAGTGTAGGTAGTGCAGTCTAGCAGTTATTCGTCATCCCACTCAGGTCGTAACAAGGTACTGAGGAAAACTAAGATTATTATTCCACCTACGAGATTTCTAAATGTATTAAATTTAGCTATATCTACTATCTAGTTGTCATATAGGTTACGTGTAAATTATAAAGTTGTCTTTGTTCTGCCGATAGAGGGCCTCTAGTCACTTTACGTGTAGTGAACTTCAGTCAACGCCTACGATCATAAATATCTTCAGACTTGCTGTAGTATAAATTCTGCTGTTTTAATAACAATGCGACAAAACAATGATTGCTGCATTGACTCTAGAAGACTAATATCGTTTAGTTTGACACCTTAACAAATAGCTCCATATTAACTTCAAATGGCAAAAAAGTTAAAGTTACATACCACTATGACTGTTTGCCCTTTAATTATGTATTTTGTGTGATAAATGATAGTCATAAATCATAGAATACGGGTATATCATTTAAATGCATTACAAAAGTCAACAAAACACCTGCTAAATATAAAGATCTGAAAACGAATTTAAATAAAGCAAAGAGATTTGCAATTTATTTATCAGAAGCTTGATTCCATGTCAACAAAATACATATTCACATCAGTACAAATGTAAATAGGAATGCAATGGGAAAACCGCAGACACTATAAACATTCAATACAAATCGGATCATCAAAGTGAAATCATTGCAACATTACCAACAAAAACAAATGTTTGCTTTGTCAAACGAATCGTCTGCGCATCTAAAATTCAGAAACAAAATATTTCATGGCAATAAACCATTGCCTAAAAAGCAAGATCGCCGATTTCCAAACAAAAACAATGAGCGTTTAATTTGCAAAATTCAAATCACCCGCGCGTCGAAAAGTCCAAAGCGAAATAGTGCAATTGAGTGCGTGAGCGCATCCAGGAATGTCGGGACTCAGGACATCGTCCCGGACCGGTTTCACACTTCACCGCTCGAACTTACCGTATTGCACATTCAACTAACTGGTGAATATCATAATGATGTAGTATTTTCTAATCAATACTTAATACTAATGTAACTAGAAGCTCCTGATGATAATGCTAAATATCAATTTTATTTTCGAATATACTTTAGTGAAGAGGCACTTACCGTAAAGGAAGTTATGAAAAAAGGTTATAGAAACAGGACTGGAGCGTGATGATGACGACGTAGAAAATATGACCATAGGAGGACTCAAACATACCTTGGAAATTGGAATTAATTTCTCATAACAAAGACAGTGATAACTGATAAGCTTTCAAACACTGATTTAACCTTACCTGTTTACAAATTTAAGAGCATTTACTTAAAACTATACGACTGCAATGAATTCTGCCTGCCGCACTCTGGTACCAAAATCAATGGTACCTTATCTACATGTTCAGGTGAATCTTCGCATTCACTGACCATGGTCAGACCAGTAGTAAAGATGACAATTTTTAACATGATATCATCCAGGTACTTTAGGATATTTTTATTCATCGTCATCACAAATAGCTGAGCTAGTTGCAATAGATATCTGTGGCCCACGGTTGTAATAGCTGTAAAATTCAATTAAACTGCATACTAACCCAATGTTACTCCATTTGTTTGAACAATTTCAGCAGAAAATTGCATTACAACACCTCATGGGTTTCTTGGTAACTGTTGGCAGTCATAAGTTGCAAGAAATACTAATTTAACCGTTGACATTTGAGTACTAAGTAATGCATTCACACACTAATGAACTAGTATTGATCTTCAGTCGTACGGCCATTGTGCGGCCCATGTACGTGATTATATACAGGGTGGCACACTCGTATACCTATAATCGAATTAGCAGTGCCTATTACGCTCTGAGTTGGATGGAACTCGTACTGTTAATTAGGTGACTTAACTCCTTGTAGTATGGTTGATTTAGCCGAAAGTGTTCCCATTAGTTGGTGACTACAAAAATGCAGGGATCTTCCGATTATGTTACGACTATATATCAATAAGGTTAAAAATATAAGAAAATATCGATATATTTTCCTTGAAAGTTTTGACTTTCAATTTCTTACAAAATCATAATACGGATGATTTTAATGTTAAACGTAGCAAGGCGCAAGAGTTGACTATGAGGCAAGTATGCTGGACAGAATAATAAATAATTGTTAATTGAGTACAGGTATCATACATGTAAATGCGATGAATTTGACTAGTATATTGGTAATTGAAAACCAATCATCTCTGTACATGTGATTGAACGAACAGGACTTTAATTCGCACTAGCGCCATCTATTGAGCGCAAAAACAGAGTGCTTCAAGTTTAAAAAATAAAAAGGCACCTGTAAGGTAGCTCAAGGGACTGTAAAGATATTTTATTATAAAAATGGAGTGCATGATCGTCAATCATGACACACGTACACACATAAACATTTAAGTATAACACGTTAAGTGGTACAAGTAAGCTTGTGGACAAGATTTACGTTTTAGTCTCCTGCTGTTAAGCTCTCCTCATACATTATTATGTTTAGTTTTAATAAATTATTTTGCGCCCTGTAAATTACGCTTTATGGAGATAACGAGGTAGCTAAGTACTTTTGTATATAGAGTAGGTACTTCCAACTTTAAGTGTCTTATACCTCTATGTGTGACCATTCAGCAATTCAAAATTTTCATTTGCTTTTTGTTCAGGATTTATGTAGGCGATAGATCATAAAGACAAATAAATATATATTTACTCAATTCTTTACCTTTCCATTTAGTGACAAAACCAATAGGTAGAACAGGGATCATAAAATATTATATTACCTACGATAACTTAATAAAAGGTTAAATAGTATCGCGATCCATCGATTGAAAAACTTAATCGATATAATTTATTATCACTGAAGACATAAGTTTTGCACCTGACCGTACCTAGAAAAGCAAACATAATTCGGCTTCCTCATCATACAACAACAAACTAGGTGCGTAGTTTATGACTACATTAATTATGCTTAAGCATATCCTAATTACTGTAATGGTATTAGCCTGAACGCGAGGGCGGTCAGCGGAGAGAGGGGCGATTCACGTGCTTCGAAATACTGATGTGAATTCCGTATAATTATGTCTATACATAAATACTTGGCATTATGTCGGAAACAAAGCGATTTACTACCGAGGTAATTAGTTAAGATCACGTTATCGTCAGCTGTTCTATTGAGGAAGTTAGTTAATCAAGCGACGCACCTTGTATTGTGTGGTTTAAGGAAATTGAATTTAGGTTGAAAGTAGTTTGCATATTTTGTCGAGTGATTTTCGCAATTTGTTGATTTTATCAATCATATTGTTCATCATGCAGTTACTTACTTCTTGTGTTTGCAGTCTGCATTAATTATGTCAACATTGATTAACATTCTGTGATAACACATGACATTATCTTAAACAGTATTTTTAATTTCCATGATACATCAATTAAATATCATAAATAAAACTTCGTAAATGAAAGCTTTAATACTGACATCACTATGCAATACATCCGCACGCATAAACTGACTAAAAATAGATGAATTGTATGGCTATTAATTAAACAGGACGGTTCCAACGACTTTTTGATGGACTTATCAACTAAATGATTTTTTACGGACATGCCTTAGTAGAATTCCTTTGTAGAAGTATGTATAAAAGACCTTTAAGTATCTGTAGGAGTAATTAATTTTCACGTGTCGGATCTGACCTTTTAGATTACTAAATTAGCACCGGTCACTGATCACCTGTAACTACAAATACATCGCAGTGGGCTAGTTACGTTTAAATTCACTCAGCAACATTGATACACGATAGCTTTAACGTTTCAAGTAAAAGTTCGCTTCCGAGGTAATTTTTAAAGAGTTATGGTGTGAGGAATATCACACAGTGTGTCATCTTTGTAATTAAGCAAAGAAGGCGTCAGAAGACGGGGGGTTGCGCCGAGGAGAATGTTCTCGGATCTCATTTCCATGCAAATGAGGGTAGCACTTGTTATACATCAGATGACGGTAGGCAGACGCGATAACAGCACTGCCGAGCGACGAGACGACGTACAACTCGGTCGGGTTATACTTGATCGATAAGTAATACGTTATGATAATGACTTCGACATGCCGCACACTATTTAGACTTGAGACGACTCTTAATGAAAAACAACACTCATGGAAGTACCTCTAGATTCAAAATCGGATCTTAAGGAACTTTTCTACTCGTTGTTGTTAAATCGATATAAAATTCAAGACTAACTTAATTAGCGAACTAGTGTATAATCTTTTGGACGGAGTTTACAACTTCGGTTACTCTAGCTCCCTCCTAGTTCTAATGTTAGCCGTAAGTTTTGTTTAAATTGGCTAGGTTTTTCATGAAGGAGCTCACAAAAGTTAGTGGGAGCTAAGTAACAATACAAGGAATGACTGTAGCCTCCGAAACTAGTCCCTATTGCCAAGATCACACCTAGTTTTCCTCTTTAACCTCATATCCTAAGTAATAACACTATGAGCAAAATCAGCATAATATTTTTCCACAACTGCTTCAATTAATGTTGGGCGTTAATCGTCTAAATAAAAACAATAAATATTTCAAAAAAACTTTCAGTCCTTTAATTGTAACAAACTATCTAACTAAGCCTAGTTTTTACATCTAAAAGTCTTTCAAAGACGACATGAACTCTCATGTACTCTCTTTCTCTTTTTCTATTTCATCAATCAGTTGTAGTATTCCCATCTTCAATTTCCTCTTCTCTCTGATTGTAAAGTTCCTTATGTCTGGTAGGATACTTTTGAAAAATGTGAGATCTTCGTTATCATCGTCTGTGCTTGAATGACCTTCAAATGAGTACTTTCTCTTCTTACTTCTATCATAAGATTCACCTGATCTTGAAGACTGTACTGTGTCTGTTTCTTGTTGTTTGTCTACTCTGGTACTAACGTCAGGTTTGATGTCAATATGATTCCATTCTTCTTCATTATACTCATTTGATTCATCAATACCATCAACGTTAACGTAGTTACAAGCGTCGCCGTGTGTTACTTCTGATTTGTCTTGGTCTTCTTGTTGTTGCCTAAAAATGTTTAAAAGTTAATGATAATGATCAATCAGAAGTTTCAAATCCATTATTATGTATTATAATTAATTCAGTATGTTTCACGACTGTTATAATATACATTCAAATTCGTTTAAATTTTCAATACCTATCCGTAAGACCCAAATTACAGAAATTATATTTACTAAGTAAGTAGAATAAGAAACTTACCCTTTAGATCTCAAGAAGGGTTCCAAAAATCTTAAGTGATCGCATAGGTAATATTTCTTGCAAGTGTTCTCACTACTGAAGGGGCTCATTGCAAGTTTGGACTTGTATCTATTGAAGGAAGACCTTATTCCTTTCCATTTCACCTTCAATTCTTCAACTGCAAGCCGAAATTCAAATTAAGACAAATAATTTGATAAATTTAATCTTGCGTTACTACTTATAACAGAGTATCGTTGATGGCGTGATTAGTAGATGGTGATTTTTGATTCTAACTTCAGGAATAACACCATATATTTCTAATTATAATAAAGACATTTCGATGATTATTGATATATAATATTGTAGACATTCTATTTATTTTTGCAATTAGCAAATGTTTTACGAAAACTGAAAGTATTAGACAGTGTTTGCTTCGCGCTCGACTTGGCGGGTGCACTGCCGTGCCCCCATCCCCATATAAATATGAACACTACTACATTAATATTTACTTTCCTGTTATAATATACGTTTTAAATTAGGTTGAATGTATACTTACTTGTGCATTCTTCATTCAATTCTGTTCTCACATTATTCGCAACTTTTGTCCAAGCCATCTCTGAAAATCGAGTTCTGTATGTGTCCAAACTTGCATCGTAGATTTCTGGGTACCGTTGGATTATTTTTACAAACTCAATCATCAGATTTTGACTGTCCCTCATGGTGGTTACCTGTTGAATAATTTGAGAATTAATTAAAAATCGATTTTTAGGTAATTAAGTATGTTATACGATAATTGTTATAAAAACATAGTTTATAAATGTTAATTTGAAAAGTTAGTTTATTTCACCCTCGATTTGTGTTTCAAAACTGTTGCTAAAAACGAAAAACTAACAACTTCGTTGCTTTGAAGTCGTAGTTATTTAGCCCATTATATCTATTCGACAGTTCTACTTGATCAAAAAAAGACATTATATTCAAATGAATTAAAAAATGTATTATGATTTTCTAATGCATTACATTTAATCTTTACTCCTTGGTTACGTTCGATTAAGGTCATATTAATATAATACTACACGGTTCCTCGTGGTCCGCCTACATACAAACAAAGGCCACGTGTCTAAAGGTTACAGGAAGAAAGAGTTAAGTACAATATTGAATAACAAATATACTTTCAAATTGGTTCCGATTCTAAGGAATTATTCGATTGAATTCTACGCCTTATATTATTATGTATCATTTGATTTAATAGATCAACTTATTTTTTGGCTTCTTTAAAGATATGTGACGTAATAATAGTGATTCTAACAATTGATGTTCGGATGCAAAGTTAGAAGGAGAAATCACCACGCGGTGTGCCAAGTTAGGTCGCGCGAAACACAGATTGAACGGTAGGTACTTAGTGATAAGTAGTTTAAAATTCGATTACATAATATACAATTTACATTAAAAATATAGCGACATATTGCACTTCTTACCATCCACCAATCACATGCCACATTACAGTTACATTACAATCAGACGGTGATATCTAACATTAAAGTAAATTAATTAGAAAGTTCATTATACAACATGTTGTATATTAACAAAATAAAATCAGATATTATAATAATATAAAACTTACGTAAATAGTTCCAGAGTTGTTATTAAGGAAAATATTTGTTTACACGATAAAACACTGTGACCTTCCTCTCAACTCGTAGTATACTGACGCGCCACAGAGCCACGCAGCGCTCACTCCGTCCTACTTTAACACTTACATCAGAGCGAGACAGAGCGATGCGGTCGTGCGACGCCACAGGGACGCGATGTTGCCATGCCGTTCTAACGTCACCTACATGCCAGATATTTGTTCAACACACACATTTCCACGCTCAACATAAAATAAACTACAACTCCGCTGCATAAGACTCAAATTACAATGTAGATTTTGTGTAGATAAGTTTGTAGCCGTTTGGCGCGAAACTCTTCGTGACTCACGCCGCCGTATCGCTGCCGACATAGTCACTTGTCAACGAGAATTTTTGTGTTAATTATACATTCATGGATAAAATCGCGATTAGTGTTGAACAACTACTGAAAATTATATTGTATATTTAGATTTTTTTAATTGTCAGCTCGTTTTGTCACGCTTTCTATTCGTGTGTTATTTATTGCGGATATTTTAAATATAGAAGCTCTTTCTTTTTTAACGGATAAATTCTAATACAGGTTGTTTTATTTTTGTTAGTACCCTGTGTAATGGTTTAGTTATTTTATTTGATATCGAAGGTAGAAAGATCAGGTGTGAGTGAAAGAATGTGGAATGTGCCAGCTGCCCAAGCACTGTACCTACCTAAGTAGTTTGAGGGGAAAGTTTTTTGCAGAATGAAGTAATTGAGGACGAGCCTACTATTATCCTGTTTGATACTATCGACTTTTACTAAACGCGATTTTAAATACTCATAAGTAGTACTTTGACATTAAATGCATCTTTGACCACGTGTTATTAAAGTAAAAGGCATTCTTTATTAATCTTTCAATCTCGTATGATTGGAGGGGATGTAATTGCAGGTGAAGGGTTAAGAAGTAACAACAATATTATGTTTAAGTAATGTATGTTGTATAGGCGTCTTACGGTTTCTTGTTAGAAGTAGGGCCACCCCTCTCAGGGGTGTCGTAGAAGTAATAAGGGATAATGCAGGGGAAGACACCATCTTCGTACAAACTAATAACTCGCTTCTAAGTAATAATGTTATTTGAGTTCGTCAAGCAGTTGTATCTTGAGGACTTCATGGGATGCACTCTTTTAGAAGGTTTTTCACTTTGTCGTACTTTTTGGACGTAGAAACATATTCATCAGTCATGAATTAATTCCCACAAACTTAGCTCTTCTTTTCGAATTGTATAGGAGCCATCATCAAGATGACAGACAATAACAAATTGACAATCGAACCATCCAGAACAATTTGCACCTGTTTTTGCAAGAACCATGTCACGTATATTTATATCGACAGTAAAATAAGAAAAAAATATTTGACGATCATTAAGAAGGAAAAAGAAGCAAAAGCGAAACCACAAATCGTATTTTACAATAAAATTAGTTGAGTGTGTTACATCGGGCGGCTGTGTTAGTGTGAGTGCTGCACACATGCAAGGTGATCGCGACATCTGCCGCAGAGCGACGCACGCGCACGTGGCGAGAACACCTTTTGTCTACCGTATGCACCCACCTTTTTACCCAATGAAAACTATTTATAGAGTGGCACAGTTCTAAAATTACATTAATAGTGGACATTGCGTGAGCATCCAGTCAAATAAACACAAATAACGATGATGATGGATGCCCAGAATGGTACAGGTATAAATTATGATACGCGACAATTTGTGAATTTATAATATAAACGTTTTTACGTATATTTAAATATAATGATCCTGCATACGTGTTAACTACCGATAAATTTTACCTGATAATTATAATGCCTTTAAATATTATTACAGATCTTTAAAAGGTTACTAGTTGACTCACATGTCCAACTTTTGCTAGACAAGTAGGCAATTATTATGTTCCATCGGATGCAAATTTAAACCACTTTTTCGTCTACATTTGCTATTTTTGAAACCTACAAAATTGAACACCCACTATTTACTTAGATCTAATCCAAAATTAATCTGAATTTGCCCGATGCAGCACCAGTCAATAAGGATCTAGATAAACAAAAAAGAAAATATATTCCAAAAAGCAAATAATTAAAACGATAATGCTAAAAGAAGGAAACTTTAAATCTTGAGTCCACTAAATATATCAATTTTAATTAGTGACGTACCTCATAAAATCAAATTAAGTTTTCCTGTGTTTTAGTCTAGATTAGAACATTTACTAGCTACATATTAATATTGTTTTTATTTTACATAGCAGCCATGACCTTCTCCATAATTAATGTGACAATTTACGGGACAACTGCACACTGCAAATTGTTTATAATAAAAATATATTGACTTTTAGTCCATTTATCTATGTGATGTTTGTTTCCATTTTCTTCCATTAAATTTTATAAAAAATAATATCGAAAATGACATTTTTATGCCAGTTACGAAATTGTATTTTGTGAATTCATAAGTCAAGTATCTTACTTTGAAAATTAATACTTGTTGAAATAAAGGAAGAGGTAGGGAATTCCCTACCTCTTAGTAGTAAGTAAGTAAGTAAGTATTTTTAAATAATATTAAACAACAATAAATATAGATAAATCACACTAAAAATTAATTTACTGTCACAATGGACAAACATGAGAAAAATAGGGATGGGGAATTAATAAACGAAGCAATGGAACTAATAACTAGCGAAAACGTATTGTTTATACTTTACTACTATTTGGAAGAACAACAAATATAGCATCATTTGTGAAGTGTGGGAGAGTCATGCTTGACCATGAATGGGACAGCTTGACTGGGGTGATACCACGGTCTCATAAAAAACCGACGTGAAACAACGCTTACGTTATGTTTTGTCGTGTGAATGCCCCAATTATCCCCACCTACCCTAAAAACCCTGAATGCCCAACAATCCTCAAATTCCTAATATCCATAAGGCCGGTAACGCACTTATAACGCCACCGGTGTTTCGGGTGTAGACGGGCGACGCCGATTGCTTACCATCAAGCGATCAGACAGATCGATTACCGGCTTAACCCTTAAAAAAAATGTGTATTACAAGTACGTCACGTCATACTTAATCCTTTTCCAAAACGTGTATCAATGTGACCATGCCCTTTTCTCAGCGTTACAGAGGCAGGTGATTATATGACAGGTGCTCTAAACAAAATTATAAGTTGCTGCTACACTCGTTGTAATATTTAACGCAATCATCGTATATTTTTTGCACTTCCATATCTTGTATCATTTGTTTTAAATTGATAATAAAGCTGGTGATTTAAATAAAGTCATGCATTAACTAGTTGTTATCTTTTTATATATAAAGGTATTAGATTGTGTTGATGTTATTTGTTTGATTACTGTTACAAACCCATTTAGCAATTTAATGTCTAACTATCATTATAATCAACAACACAGGCACAGTGCACTGCTGACCTGTAGGCCTCAGTTTGTTGGAGAGTTTGTTATAATCTTATATATTATCTTATCGGCCTTCAAACCTTCAAGAAAAGAGCATATTCCTTAAAAGATCGGCAACGCACCTGTGACTCCTCTGGTGTTGCGAGTGTCCATGGGCGGCGCTGATCGCTTACCATCAGGTGATCCGTTTCGTCGTTTGCTTCCTATTCCATAAAAAATCTCTACTTCTGTCTGGAGAGTCGAAGATCGTAGTTTTTCACAAGTTTTTAACCGACTTCAAAAAAGGAGGAGGTTATTCTTTTTTTTTTTTAAACATTGCCCCACACTAGGATTTTCTCCTGTGTCGTGGGTGCGTTTACAAACATACAATATCACATACACATGACACCCAGACCCGGAACAACAATCTGTGGATCACACAAAGAGTTGTTTCGTGCGGGAATCGAACCCGCGACACGTTGCGCGGCAGCCAGTTGCCCAGCCACCGCGCCAACCGTGCAGTCAAAATTGCATGGTTATTGTTGTGTTCTCTTGGACGTCAGGGAAAGATTATGATGAGGTAAAGTCGAAGAGAAAACAAATATTTTGTATATGTCAGGATAATGATAGCATCCGCAAGGATAACCCAAATCCGCACGGTATTAGATATTAAACAACTATAAAAAGT